GGGGTGTTAGCACGGCACAGCCAAAGCTTCGGCCCTTGCGAGCACTATGATGAATGAAGGAGTTAATCTCAGTTGGTTGCAATGCTGCCACGTAGCTAAGTGTAACTCAAAAGAGGTTCAGTAATGATTGGTTATAGGAGGAATCCTTCACTTTGAGATTAGCCTGATTCCATTACTGACTTAAATTTGAAATGAGCCAACGATGACAATTTGCATTTGTGCAGTTCCTTTCACTGTCGGGTGAGATGTCTGAGGGGGCTGCAGATGGGGGAGAAAGAAGAAAAGTTGGGGGTGGGGGGGGAGAGAAGAGGAAATGGGTGGACGGGGGGGGAGAGATGAGGAATGGTGGGGGGGAGAGCAAGGAGAGATGAGGAAGAGCGGGTGGAAAGCATTGGGGTATTCCTTCACTGGAAGTCTGGTAGAGCTTTTAATGTTTAGCTTACCCTGACATCCCGAGTTGCCAAAGCATTTGAAATTTATAGGTTCGCACCTATAAAAAAAACATGGTTAAAATTTAAATGCTTTGGAAGCCGAATCCGAGCAGATGGGTAACGAGCAGTCGTCCGTCCTGGTTCCAAAATCTTTGCGCTTGAACTATTTAAAATTAGTATTCTTAGAAGCCAAAAAAAGGCCCCCCCCCACCACAAAAAAAAGCAATAGAGAGAGAGAGCATGAACCGGTGCATATGTACCTTATCTCTTCTTTATAATTTTCTGTACGACAGAGAGAGAGGGGAAACAAAATATAAACAAACCGAGAACCTTAATTGCTTCTGAGTGTACATTGTGCATTATGCTCGCCTTTCTGAAGCAGAGACGGTTAGCTGAGCTATGTATGCTTTAAGCCCATGGGAAGCACAGTACTTATTGCATGCTATTCATCACAGACTGTCATGTTATCAGTGCCAGTGGACCTTAATCCAGAAGGCTGCTTCTACCTCCCCTGCACCAGGGACTAACATGCCCTGCTGTTCCTGATAACATCGCAACAATCCTTTAATCGTATTAGCTTCTTGGATGATATGGAACCTGTCCGATCTATGTGCTGGAAAGCCACTAATACAACACTCTCTGCCTGCTCTGCTTTTATTGGGAAATTGTTCTGAAGTGCTATCCTCTGCAGCCTTCCCCCCCCTGGAATCATGGTACCAGCAATTCAGCATATAATTGAAGCCATCAGTATGGCCATCAGCCAAACTGATACATTGCAGCTGATTAAAGTGAGTGGCTCTTAACCTGAAATGATTTTAAAAACCCTTTAAAAAAAACTCTCGTTAAAAGAGACAGCCACCTCCTCAGCCTGTGCAGCATTTCAGGGCTATTAAAAGAAAATCAACCAGACCGAATTTTTTTTTAACTCTTTTGAGAACCCTCTGTGTACTGTTTTGTTTCAAAAGCAGAAATGATCTTGGCCGGTCGGTATCGGAGCCTGTGCTGATGAGACCTAATGATTCCGAAATGATTCTCAAATAAGGAACGGACGTGCGACATTCTAATATTTTGCGAATGGACAGTTTTTAAAATTGCGACTTAATGAGGAGTGCAATGAGATTTAGGAAAAAAAAACATGTTTCGGTTAAATAATGGCATTTTTACAGGTGGTCATAAGGAAATTCTAATGTAAAATGATAACGGTCCAAGTCCTTCGCTGAGTGACTTGGTTGGTTGACTCAAGAGGAAGAGTGATCTCTCTTAACACGGTGCTTTTTTTTAGTGTATTTGTATACACTCCGGGATGACTCTCCAGTGCAATTATGGGGGTGTTGCTGCATTATCAGAGATGCCATACCTCTGATGTTCGGACATTAAAACAAGGTCCCACCTGCCCATTGAGGTGGACGATAAAGATCCCGTAGCACTGTTCGAAAAGAGAAGGGTAGTTTCTCCCAATGTGTTAGCCAAAACCCCTCCACTTAAATTGGTCATCGACCTCCTGGTTGTTTGTGGGACATTGCTATATGCAAATTGGCTTTTGCCTTCAAATACACAGGCATTAACACTTAAACCTTAAGCAATATGAAGTGCTTGGATTACAAAGATACCCCATCAAATAAAAGGATTATTATTATTTAGAATTATTTTCCTGACTGTATTATGAGGTAACAATATTAAGGGATATGGAATGAAAAGATCTACCATGATCGAATAAACTGGTGGAACAGCGTCAATTGCCTGAAGGACCTCTTCCTCCTGTTGTTGTCATTTTCTCACTTGTTTCAATGTCGCTTCCTTCACAAGAAGAACACATCCCTGAATTTCCAACCAATCTCTCGCACCTCTGAATGGCCGTCTTGACTATTCTCATCTGTTAATCCTTGCATTCCCATCCTTATCCCGGCTGATAAAGGGTGGCACCGTTCTGTGGTGAAAACCACATCTCTGTCACTGAGACCCGATGGCAAATGTCTTAATCTTGCCTCGCATTTCTCCTCGTCTCTCAGATGATCATCACCTCATCTCTTCTGTAGATCTTCCTCCCACTGTCTCCCTAACTTACTGTCTGCCACCATCACATTGGAGTAATGTATTGTCTCAGCTTGTACTTGTCCCCATCAAAATCACCTCCCACTTTCTTGACTCTCTTCCCCTGTTCAAGTCTAAGTGTACTGAGCTACACATTTAAGCGCTCATTTTAATATGTGCAACCCAGTAACTCCCAAGAGTTAGGAATAGATTCTCTGAGACTTTTCTCTTCCACCCCATCAGTCCTGTTCCACTATCTGCCTCGTCTATGTATCTTTGAAACTTTAAAAGGAGCATTAAAAACAGAATCCGCTTCCCCCAGAAATAAGCATCTTTTCATTACTTAACTGCAAATGACGTGACCTGGCTGCCCTGGCATACATAAAGATTTCTGCACAGAAATACTTGTCAGCTGAGAAGGCTCATTAGCAAAATAAATTCTGCAGCTATTTGTTACCAGCTAAGCTCATGTTTCCAACCTAGCGAAAAATATTTGGAGATCATGAACTATTTCAGGGCTGGAACAGGTTAATGATTATCCAAGCTTTAATTGTCTAGATTGCAGTTATAAACCATGATCAAATAAGTGCCAGTTGCACAGCCCTGATCAAGTCACTGTTGATCAGTCAATTAATTTCCTACATCGACTGGTAATTCTGCGATACTGTAGTTCATGGTTGGTCAGTTGCGAATTGTGGTGTGCGAGGCAGAAAACATGCGTTTTCCTTTAAGCTGTCAGAAGAGCTGTGAATTTCTGCCTGCGATGTTTTCATATTTTATTAATGTGCAAAGGGTGGGGGGGAAACTTTGCTCATTTAAAAATAACACATCTCCATTCGTTTCATTAGATTGTCTCTATTTTTTAACTCCAAAATCTTACACTTTCTTGTGCTTTGTGAAACACAATAGGACGCTGACTTGTGTCACTTCTTTAATGTCGGTATTCCAGCAGAGATTCGAGCAAACAACTGTGGGTAATTTGCTGACTTGAATCTGTGTAGAGTTGGAGAGGAAAGGCTTTATGCATGAGCTGGGATCTGCTGCTCTTGCCCTATGACTCAGATCAGTTCCTTCAAAGTGAAGGAGGATGCTTCCTTTTGAGATTTGGCAAACGCAGGACACAGGTTCGGGGTTGGAAGGGACAATTTCAGGACAGACACCAGGAAGATGGTAATTAAAGACAGGAAGAGTTACCAGGAAGGGTAGCAGAGATCAGGATACTTTTAATGGAGTCATTTAAGAAACAGCTTGATGCAGTAATGGGAGGACAGTAGGGTGGGCATTATGGAAGGATGCGATCAGACGGACCAAAGCGATTTCTGCATCTGAATCTACTTGTGATGGCACAGTGCATACAAATACAAAGGTGGTCCATCTTTTTAAGCAGGGTGATTATTATCCGGCCATTATCCAGTGAAAACTGTGAAACTCACACAGTGACAGACCTCAACATACATTTCAGAAGCAAATCTGCCTGTAGAATGTTCAGAAAATGTTCAGCCATCTGGTCTGCCCTGTTTGCTCTTCCCTATGCGAGCCACCTCGTGTAACCCACTCTCCTGCTCACTCACCGACCCCTTTTGATATTTGTCTTTCTCGAGCATCTGTCTAATTCTCCTTTTGGGGGGTGGGTTTGGGGAGGGAGTGAGACATTGCCTCGGCAAAGGTCTGTGCTACAGAATTACATATCCCAAACACCCTCTGCAGATTTTGGCACTGGTGTAAAAAGACCCCATGTTCTTAAACTGGAGGATATAAGGTTTGCCATCTGGCATCACGGGGCTGTACCAAGCATGCCCAGGACATTCCTGCCACAAGGCAACAGCACATGGAGGCCCCTGGTACATTACCCTAACATTGACCCTCAGACTCACCATGAGCTGGATACCTCCATCTGAATCAGTGTGACTCTCTTACTCTCCATTCCTACCGTGTGGTCATTCTATAGATAGAATTCCAAAACCATGCCAGCTTTCGTACTGTGGACTCGCTCCCACCCACCTGCCCAACTGCCAATGGCCGATTCTTTTATCCCCCACAAAAAAAAGATTATTTTGTGTTCAATCCTGAATCAAAACAAGATGCTTCAGCTTTTCTCTGTGAGATGAGTCTGAACCCATTTCCATTGCCAATGTGAACCAATACTTGGGAACATAGGACCAGGAGGAACAAGCTAGTTTAGCAGATCGCGGCAGATCCATTAATCCAATTTCTCTATCGTCTTTTCATGCCCTTTTTTTTCTCAAGTCTCTATCTCCTTTTTTATAGATAGATCCGACAACTACTGCCTTTTGGCCTTCCGTGTTCTAACAGGCCTCTATATCATGGAGAAAGATTTTCCCATCTTGCTTCCAGTTGGCTTGGTGTCATTTTTTAAATGAAAACGACTGACCCGATAGTTTAGGTCTTATTGGAGAACCACAATAATTATGAACAGGATTCAATTTTGTCCTTGGAAAGAAAAGAATTTCCAAAAAACAGCCAGCGGTGTTGTGGCTGGGTTTGGAGCAGTGTCGCCTTTTTGACTGTGTTACTCACCGGTACTGTGGACGTGCCCGTCAAAGACTGTGTGTTTGCATCGCCGCACGGCTGGTCGGAATGCGTCTGTGTGGGTGTGTAAATCGTCATGGCGTGCTCTGGTACCGTGGTCTGTCCCGCGTAGTCCTGAGTGGCGTGTGGGTGTGCTGGACCGTATTCAGCTGGGATTCCGTTCTGCGGAGCAGGGTACTGGGCAGGAGGGTAGGGCTGTGCCATTGCTTCAGGAGGGGCCGTGGCTTCTTGATTACCCTGCAAACGGAGGAGAAACGCGTCAGTCAGCGGTCGGGGACACGATCAGCTTCACCTTCTAGCGATCGCAAAGCGCACGAGGAAATGTAATGGCTCACCATCTTTTCACCTGCAAAATATATCGCTTCGCGCCCCCAAAATATACGGTCAAATCACTATGTAGTATATTCTGTGAAGCTCTTTGAGACGTCTCGAAGACGTGATGAGGCGCTATATCAAATGTAAGGATTATTATTATTATTATCTTAATTGGAGTTTGGTGTGTGTGAGGCCCCGTTGTTAATTTTTAAGAAAAATCTTAAGCAACGTATTTGGGAACGAGTATTGGATGGAAAGGGAAATAGCCCACGGATTCCTCTGAAGTTATCAGGCGCTGGGCTCATTGTCCCCACACTGGCTGTAGTTAATAATTGCCGACCCACTGAGTACACCCTGTGACAATCACACTGAGAGGACACCCAGTACATGTGTGCAGGGCGCACTCTGTGTGATTGTAACAACTGACGAGCAGCCCTCTTACAGAAAATAATGCCGCTTTGTAAAGCATATCATTAACTCACAGAGGATTTGGGCTGATCGGAATTGCAATCCCAGCGAACGTAACAGAGATCAATTAATTGATAAATAGTTGATTATGGCCTGTGATTCAGTGCTGCGGTTTCTCAGTGCTTCCAGCTGTCGAGATGATAGGTTAAATCAGAGCAGCCAGCTGACTATGCCGATAACAGCCCCTTGGATTTCCTGTGACAGGGATCAGTCACTCAGCCTCTTCACATAAAGGGAACAAGAACTTGCACAATTTCAGGCAGAGCTGTTTTATCACACGCTGCCAATCATGCTGTCTGTTTTGTTACTTTGGCCCCGACACTCTGGGTTGTCACCAAGGCTTCCTTCTCCAAAGCCTTTGTTTTGACGTCTTTCCAATTAGTTTCTGATGGCAGTGACTTTAAATAGAACTATTAGTCCTTATATTAGTCCTTATAATTAGATATTAAAACCGGGTTGGACGGCGGAGCGTGATGGGCTTTCTCAGATATTTTGAGTCACTCTAGTATAAACTTCGGATACCTCAGAGTGGCAACCCTGAGTAGCAGATCAGTGAACACAGACAATAATAATAATAACTGCATTTGATTTAGCGCCTTATCAAGTCGTCGAGACGTCTTGAAGAGTTTCACAGGGACAACCTGTAAAGTGGTTTTGACTGTGTATTTGTGGGTGAAACACTGCAGCCAGTTTGCGCACAGAAATGTCCCATAAACAGCCGTGAAGTAAATGACCAATTTTATAATACCAGTCCTTTCTGAAAAGACGCTACCTCTTTGAAGAGTCTACCTCTTCGACTGCGCCTGTGGTCACCGGTCACGTCGCCCTCCCCGTTTTCCCTCACTCGGCATCCAACCCCGCTACTGTCCAGTGCTCTGAGACGCTATCCTGCTATATAAAAGTAAGTTGTGGTCAATATTGTTGCTGGTGCCATAACTGAGAATGGCAACTGGTGAGGACGAGACAGTGAAGTACAGACGTGAAGGTCAGATCCTGACCCGAAAGGCATTGAATCGAATGCAAGGATTATTATTATTATTGATCCATACCAACTACAGAATATCCCAGCGCTGGTCATTGTTAAGAGAGCCAGAGAAAAAATGGGGTAAAAATAGTAAAAAGCCAGCCATTTCTCTGGCAGTGTATTAAGTACACGCTGGCAGCAGTCAATAGGAACAGGTACCGCGTGGGTTGCATACCGGGTAGTCGTTTACTGATTCTGTGCCTTACTGCAATGCTGCAAGCAAAGAAATGTAGAGTTGAGTAATAGCAGATGCTCACCAGGTCTTTGAGCCTTGATTGTGCTGATGTAGGGGGAAAATTGCACCCCTAGGTCTTGTGTGGCCTGCACTAAATTGAGCTTGAATTCAGGGCCTTATAGACTGTGCGTAAACAGCCCTCTTTAATTAACGTCCATTGGGTCCAGGGCTGTGTTAAATCTTTTGTGTAACTGCAACTTAGCAACGCTACCAATATCGTGCATAGCAGAAAACCAACCAGCCCTTCCTCATGAAGAGGAAAATAATTCCATTCGCTAAAGGAGAACGCTTGCTTTTCCTGGACTCCTTTTAGCCATGAAACAAATTGAACCACATGTCAGCAAGATGTCTCTGTCTCAGTTCATTATGTCATTGTGTTCAGAAAACTAATTGATCCAACAGGAGAAGCGACTTTAAAGTCAAAGGGCTCTATTTTCAGAACATTGGTGTAAGGCACTTGAGAGAGTTTGTTTTGCCAACAGTAACTGGCTACTTAACTGCTAAGTCATTAGTGCTGCATATTTGTGATCCAACGAATCTTTGACTTAATTATTCAAATTTACTGCTCTAACAAGTAGAAATCAGTAAATTGCTCTATGCAAATGATGCAACGTGTAATGCTAATGGCAGAAGGGCAAAAAAACATAGGGATGAAAGAGAAAGATACACATTACTGACACTGTTGCGCTCCCAAAATCAAATTGAAAGACTATTTTTTTCTGGCACTAAAACCATAATTTCTCCACAATGCTAGGCCATCAAAGAGTTCTGGCCATCATTCCACCGAAACTTTATGTTTCCAAAAGGATAAGAAAGTGTTTGAGCACAAAGTGTGTCAGTACGAAAAATACATTGAGTTTGTGTGAGTGTGTGTCTCCTGGTTATAGGACAACAAATTACATTTAGATAGTGTCTGTGACGTTGGGATAACGTCTCAAGGCGCCAGTCAGTTTGCACTGAAACTGGGGGTTGGAATCAAGAAAGGTGGGGTCCAAGCAGGATAGGGGTGAGAGGATGACCGAAGGCACGGTCAAAGAGGAAAGTCTTGAGACTGGCATTGAAGGAGGCAAGGAAGGGGACATGAGAATGCATTAGAAAAAGGATTTCCATGTTTACATCTACCATAGCCATCAAGTCATTCAACAAACCCTGGGTCTCCCTGCACAGACTCCAAACCCTCTGGGTAGCGGGTGTTGCCTGTTCCTCCCAGCGGCACTGTGCAGGCCAGTGATCTCCAGAGGCAGTGACATGAAGATGCCACACATTATACCATTTGGGTGGACTCAGTGGGGGGAGCAGATTGGCTCTCCAGTTATGCTACTCGCCACACTGAAAGCTTCCTCCTCATAGCACTGGGAGGTGGCCATTCATTCAGAGCTTCCAACTCAGATCAGTTTGCAGGAATCGCTGGGCCTGTTCCAGTCTTGTGGTTGATGTGCCATCAAATCCCAGAATGTGACCCTGTGGAGGATACTTTGAGTTGTGTTCTCTCTCTAGTTGTATTCTCTTTCTCCCCCACCAAACAAAAATGTAACAGCTAAATTACTGCAGAATCTGCAGAAAAATAAATTGTAGATATACTAATACTAAACCTAAGTAATACCATTAGTTATATTCTTTTACTACCTTTATTTCTCACTCCCTTTCACATCTTTTTTTTAGAAATGCTAATCTGAAATGCTTCTGTATTTTGAAAACATTAGTTTTCAGTTTTACAATTATTCTTGTTCACTGAGTAGTTAACTGCAGGTTATGTATTTGCACATTGAGAAAATAGATTTATCATAATATAATAATAATACTTGCATTTGATATAGCGTCATATCACGTCGTTGAGATGTCTCAAAGCGCTTCACAGAATATATTGTAAAGTGGATTGACTGTGGATTTTGTGGGCGAAATACTGTGCCAATTGTGCACAGCATCTGCATTTACTTGCATTTGACTAGTTTGCATTATTTCTTAACTTGTATCACTGTTTGACTTCCTTCCCCTCTGTGCCACTTTATATTTCCCACCTGATACAGACCTAGAGCGGAGTAATTTGATCTCGTGGATCCTGCTTTTACCAATGATGTATTTGACCGCAGGTTGGTTTGGCATGTGTTATGCATGACTCATCAAACTCATTCATTTTTATTTCAAAATAAAATTGCTCATTTACTTCATGGCTGTTTGCGTGATATGGCAAATTGGCTGCTGTGATTGCCAGCAAACTGCAGTCACTATACTTTGCAGTAAATCGTATGAGGCGCTTTGAGGCAATGTGCCAATGCCAATGTGAAAGACGCTATATCAAATGTGATGATTATTATTCATAATAATATTGAAATTGCAAAGTTAGATTTGTTAATTTGTGTTGTTTATTAATAATAATTATTATCATTTACATTTGCTATTGCACCTGCATTATTGGCCTTAATAAATCATGCAACATTGTTTGAAGAAATCATTATTACCCCACAATAGCTTAGAATGCAGTGTTGCTTGATACTGAATAAATATTTTCTTTGGGTCTAATTAATAAAATGCAAAATATATTGGCTTCATTGTGTTGCTTGAAAGAAAGGTTAGCAGCTTATGTAGCACTGGTGTTAACCAGCACTTAAAATAATATGTTTGCATTGAATGTAAATTGCATGCAAATCTCGCAGCCAATTTGCACACTGACAAGTGCCACAAACAGCCATTAAGCAAATGACCAATTTTTAAAAATTTAACCACTACTTAAAAGACTGGAATATATCCTAAACCAGTTAATTGGACCCACGACTAACAATTGGAAAGTCTGTGGTTTCGTTGGCTGGATGTTGTCCCAGACACATTGAACCTAACTGCTGTGCGCAATTGGCGCAGCGTTTCACCCACAGAATGCACAGTCAATCCAATTAACAGTATATTCTGCGAAACTCTTTGAGACGTCTCGAAGAAGTGATGAGGCGCTGTAATAAATTGCGAGGATTATTATGATTTGGAATCAAAATACGCAGCCTGATGTAGACGCAAAAAAGATCCCTCCGTGCTGGGTGAAAGGCGCTACACAAATGTAATCTTGTTGTTGTGGGCTGCTCAGCATTTGATGAAACTAAGCAATAAAACAATTTGATACTGAATAGAGGGGCTAAAAGGCTTTGAGTTTTACCAATATGCAGCACTTCAGTGGTCCTGTCCAAACCACATCGAACCTGAAACTAA